TAACACTGCAGATGTCACAAGTCACAGCCAAGGATAGGAAACTATGAAGGTGGAAGAGGTTGGACCTAGTCATGTTGAAAAATCACCCCCATAATCATAACAATAAGCTGTTATTAGACAGTGCTTATTACCAAAGCATATGATTATGTTTTCCCGCTGGCTTTTGGAACTGACAGTCCTGGTGGACTGGTAACTATACAAATTACCAGCCCTCCCTAATTTTTGTTAGTCCTAACTTTAAACATATAAAAAAACATATCAAAATTACCTACTTTAAATTCTTTCAATATCACGTTCATTTCATCTCTGAACGTGCTGAAGTGACTTACATCGTTCACACAAAGTTCAGACACAATTTTCTTTTTTTTTCATATTTCAAGACAAAGTCACTACAAATATACTTTTAACCTCGAAGCAAAGCGAAATGTTATTTTCTTGCACTAAAAATTGACAAGGGGAAACGCTGATGGCAACAGACATGCTGACTTCGTTCGAAAAATATGAATATCACAGATTTATAAGGTCTTTATTTGCTGGTCCACAGGGACTGGCGGTCTCATTAATTACCAGTCCAAGCCTAATTTTTCCGGTAAAAAACTGGTAATTACCAGTTAACGGGAACACTGTTTCACTAACAAATATTGAAAAACTCTCAACATCTTTTGCAGGGATTACCATGGTAGTTTTTACCTATGAGAAAATATCTCCCCTGGTCCAAAAGCAATGAGATTTTTTGGTGTGTGTAGAGATTTTGCTAATTTTCAGAGATATTTCGTCTTCACACAGTAGAGACTGAATTTGATTTTCAGTACTTGTGACTCAAATGTTGCAATTAATGCTACAAGACTGTTGTGATATATCCTTGGATATGCTATTTTCGAACATTAATTATTCCACTGCGCATATTTAAAAATATTAGCATATGTATTAACAAATCATTACATTAGCACTTATAATTCTGTCGATTGTCTACTTTAGGAGAAATTAAACTAATATTTCTTTATTTCTGTTCATTGTCCACTTTATTGGGAATTATTTGTGAGGACAATTATAGATCTTTAGGAGGCATGTTTACCATCAGCTGTTCATTTCGTTGGCATGCAGGAGACAACAATCTGCAGTTAACAAATTTCGACAATGTGTGTGTAGATCGTAATGTAATATATTCAAAAGGATGAAATTTAATACCGACAGTTTGTTGGCAAAAAATACCTTACTTACATTCCAGTGCTTTCATCAATTTCGCTGCCTTATTTCCGTCTGTGGTGTGTACCGTATCAGAGACCAGGTCTCTGACCATATCAATTTAAATCTATCAATATGGACTTTTCAATTAATTAGAAGTGACAGTTCAGTATACGACAACTATTGCTCCATGTTCACCCTTTTGTTTAATTAGCAACAATCAAGTCATTTATTTCCCACAGAAGGCGGCGTGATTGCCATGTGCAGCAGCCAGAAATGTTGAAAAGACTGTTGAGATTCACGATGTTTATGAATTAGATTTGAATGATTAAGTCACAGTTTTATGGACAAATCTGGAAGCGAACATATCATAGTATATTCTAAAAAACCTAAATCCATCTTGCTGTTTAATTTCTGCTAGGATTTAAGTTTTTAAAAATATGTTAATGACTTGGTGTTGAATAGGAATAGGATTTTCGAGCGCTACCAAAGTGTATATATTGTAAAAACAAACACTCATTTTGCCAATCTGGGAAATAAAAATGTTGAGCACTCCACCATTGTCAGCTGATGCAAAGCTCCATGCAGTGATATAGGAATTGGTTGTGCACAGTACAGCATGCAGTGTTGTGAGTATGCAAATCACTGTTTCGAATGACACCTTTTGACGATTGAATAAACTACCATTTAAGTTTTTTGTTGACATTTGTTAGTTACGGTAGATAATTTTATTCAAGCAATACAACATTTTGTAGGTGAAAATGAGAGTGTCAATGTAGATAAAACTATTGAAAGACAAATGCAATTTTCAATCCCGCAGATTGAATGTTGATGTGATATCTAAGTCAATCCCTGCCTTTGGCTACATTCAATAACATTACTTGTAGAGATGGTAGATCACAGATGACCTTATGCAGAGCCAGAAACTAACATTTTCAGTCCACCAGTCCTTATAATGATAACACATGACAAAACCCTTAAAAATGGCAAAAAACCACTTGGGCAAGGACTACAGGACTAGTGTCAATTTCTACTGCTGTTATGCACTCGATGACCCCAGCACCCCTGTTACTAGGCTGACGTCACATGGCATTGTTTCGCTGTTCTTGCAACAAAATTGCATAAATTGGGGTCATAGGGTATTGTGACATGATTGTAAACTTTGTGTTGCAGGACCATGTTCCACAAGCAATAGTAACGCAACGACAGTCGTATGTCTATGTTGAAGTATGGGTGTCAATAGCTTTGTGGAACAGACTCTTGAATTCTAAAGGTGGGCTGTTGTATGGTACTAAATAATTTGAAATAACTTTTGATATATTCGAAGCATTTTTCTGTTAAACTGAAGTTGACTGTGCTGTGGATCGTATACATGTGTCAGGCCACACATGACAGTGAAATCTTACAAAAACGTTGTACACAGCAAGTAATGAATACCTCTTCACTCGATCCATGAATTGTATTGGTATTGCAAGAGAGCTTGTTAGCATGATTAGTACAATATCTTTGCCACTTATTAAACCCACTAATTGTAAGGTCTGAACATTGTACCCATTATATTGTATTCTCCAAACACTTTTAGATTTTACATGTATAGGAGGGGGTAATTGAGGCATAAGCTGAACTTACATGGCCGCAGACCATAATAAATTATGTTGGTATGCTTGGATCTGCAAATTGATAGGTACCTGTTATGTGTAGTCTATAATGACTTATGATTTCAGTAATGCATTCAAATTATAAGGTATGTTATTATCACACTCAAATCACTGTATCCTTGTAAACATAATCACAAGGCAAGGGAGATAACCTATGTTTTCTTTTTGACAAAACTTTCAGACAATTTCCCTGTTAAATGCAATAAACTTGAAAAGTGGAAACTTAGCAAGTGTTCTAGACTCATTTGTTATTTCTTGCAATTTTTCATTTAAATTTTTTGATTTCAAACTGAATTTTGTATATGACATCTGGTGACCTTGTTCACTTGAGAGGTAATGCATTGGTTCTTCTAGATCCTATAATGTCACATCTCAATTAATAGCGAAATAAATTTGCAGAAAACAAACTTTTACAATATTTTGTAGGTATGCAGGGGGCATGGGTGGCCCAGTCGTCTAAGGCGCTGTGATTCACTGTGCAGAGTTGCGTCCCTTGGGCACGCCAGAAACCTGTGATTGTGGGTTCGATTCCCGGTTCACCCTGATTATGTTTTTAAGTTTGTCAGCACTAACTCACTCACTGTTGATATGGAAGGTGTTACATGATGATATTCAAGTCTAAGACAAATCTTAACGATATAAAGTAGTAGTGGTAGATATGAAAAAACCCAAAACAACAGTAGTTTGAGTGTAGCATCGACAATTACATGATACACTACTGTTGTGTCTGGACCGTCTGCTTAACACTTTTCAGCAAAGAAGTAATAGATAGGAGAGTAAAAGTACTAAAAGTAAAAGACATGATGTGTTGGTTCATGTCACATTATTATGGGAACAGTTTAATAAGTAAAAAACAACATTATGACCTCATTGACCCGAAGGAATAGTAACAAGACGAGGGTTTCGGATGAGGTCAAAGGTGACATAAAATAATAACAAGTCTACACCAATTCTAGGCTAACAGATTGTACACTGGGCCAATCAAAACATAAGACAGGGGTATTTGCAGCTCTTATTCAATAATGCTGACATAACATATAGAAGCATACCGGCTTACATACACATATATATTAGACTGGGTCCTTGCTTCCAGTGTGACACATTTTGTGTCAGGTGATCTGTCGTCAAAATCATCAAGACGTGTTGTAAAAACGACAAGCATGTGTAGAATTTGGCACTGTGTTTCAGTAATAAACTTGTCGCTACTATAATGCATTGATCTGTTTCTAAAGTATCCATTTCCTCTAAATTCAGAAAACATGTAGATCATTGATCGACTCAAGCATGCCTACTTCGATAAGGATCGCATCAGTTCGTGAAGTCCAAAATTACTACTACGCTAAATATATCAACAACATATCATATACACAAACATAAGCACGCATTTATAAATCTCAGACATATATTTCGCCAAACTAAATGTGCACCAATCCAACGAACGCTTAATTACGAGGTATATGCCTGTAGCTTCCGTGTATGGGAATCAACAGTGTGCACAAATCGGAACGGACTCGGAATACCGTGAGTGCAAGCTTGTGCGACATTTTGTGACTATACAACGCACACCATTGCGTACTTACCTCCAAAATACCGAAATATTATTCCAGCGATGGTATTAATCCTTAAAAATGCTACAAAATCGCCTATCAGGCGGTCTATCTATACAATTTCTACAAAAACTCCGCATATTATCCACATCAGAAGTAAACTAACAAGATGGCGTCCCTTTTGTTTCCCGCCCAAACAAGTTGTTCGAATTGAGCTGAGTCACTACAAAGTCAAGGCGCAATGAAAAATAGTCCACAGAGACATTGCAATTATTAACAAAGTACCTCTTGCAATGTCGTTGAAATGGATGTATTATATAATCATATATGTTACGAAAATGCCTTAGCATTTACACAACCAATATATGAAAAATAGTATATTTGATAATTATTTATAGAAAGCGGACTTATACATGTAGTCCAAAATATGCAGGTGCCCCAGATATTCATTGATCAGGAACAGATACATTGCGCTTTGAGTTTCTAATAAATATTTTAAAGAAAACATGTTAAGTTTTGTTGAAATTATTAGAGTTTGGGTGCAAATGTGATGTAAGTCATTGGCTTTGGTTACTAATGATGACCTTGAAACCTCGCCCGCAACGCATCTCGTGAGACAAGTCACGTGACTTAAGATGGCCGTAGAAATAACTGTACATGACGGTCGTGCATGACTGTCATATGCATGCTTGTTATGTCATCAAGTGATGCATCAGCATGTGTGTATCCCTCCGTACCATCAGGATTAATCAAACATGACTGATGCACAGGAGGACGAAAATGCAAAAGAGGATTCTGGTGAGAACGATTTTTGATCGTTTGCTTCGGTGAAATATGTTGGACTGCCGATAAGTGATCATAAGTCCAGTATACTGTTGTGTGGACTGGGGCACAAGGCAAACGAAGAAAATAATATTTGCAGCTAGAGTGGGAACATATTTTTATCTGAGCATTTGGTATCTTTGTATTACCTCTAAAAGGTTTCATGCGTGCAATTTATGTTCACAAGATAAAGTGTGTGAAAGTAAATTTCATCATACCGCAAATCTTATCGTTATATTAGAAAATCCATTGCACTGTTTTAATAGAAGGCCCCATTTTGTTGCATTGATGCATTTTGAGTATATCTGCATATAAATATATTACATTATAATGAATTGTTTACGTTGAGCAATTAGCAGGAAAGTGGTTATGAGATCATACAGTTGTGCACCCCTGTGTAACCAGGAAGTGCCCGACAGTATATAGGCAGCAACTTTCACTCACTGCAAATAGACAAAGTGTTGATTATAGTGAACATTTAATGGCAACAGACAAATGAAAACTTATTCATCATACATCGTTCTTATCCATTTATGCACACATGCATTGGTGAAACAACCTTTCCACATACTGAAAATCTTGCACATTAGACAGTTTTAAATCCAAAACTAAAAACAATATTTGATGTTGACAACCTGAGCACTTAGACAAACTCCTATTTCCTACCAGATTGATACTATTCAGATTGCTACTGGACTGCAGAGACCTGGTTAGACTAACATCTAGTCTCTGAAATGAACATATCGTACAGAAGAAACAAACAGTTGTTCAATTATCTTAATACAAATATAATATGAGGGAGCCCAGAGACTCTCTTCATTTTCAGATACTGATACTGCAGTAATCTAGACTTGCCATACAATATAGGCTTGCATGGGCTGTATTGGATATATACATATTGTATCAGGGTCTGTAAGACAGACTAAGAGCTGGTCACAAACAGATTAGGGATCATGTAACCTGGATGATGCATTAGCAATGTTACCACAAATATATCTTGAGATCTCTGTGGAATATCTTGTCAGCATGAGTGTTCTATTCTTTTCTTATGATTAAATGCTAGATGGATCTTGTAATCTTGTAAGCGATTTGTCAAAGATGTGGGGCAACTGTAAACAGTTACTGTCAGACACAATTCATGCTATTGTGATTCTCTGGAATCTTAACTCTGCACCATGTCAAAACACCCTCATTTGGTGATAAATAGCACTTTCCTGGCAATCTCATTAAAATCAGATCTTAGTTCTCGGTATTGCAAAACAAAGATCTGAAGACATCCCATTATGGGTCACGTCAGAACGACCTTTCATCTGACCAATGAAAACGTCGCTTACCAGATCGCGAAAGTGACAGTCGGAATGTGTTTTCTGATCATGCAACCTCAAAAACGTTAACACGAGGATTCCGAAAGACAGTTATGGCCCCTACGACTGATTCCGTCAAAATTATCGTCTACCTCTTGATTCCGTGGGATGAACATTTGAATGGAGGAGGCGTTGCACAGTACGTTGTAAGCACTGCCATACAATCTCAACCATATATTAGACATTCTGAAATGTTTGTTTGTTCAGTTTTCAAAATTTTAATCGAGAACTGTGTCAACATATTTTTCAAGCGTTGTCCTAAATGGAAGTCCCCAGGTTGAAACGAGTGCCGTAAATCTGGAGAAAGCTGCTTTCTAATTGGCTGATGTTGACTTCTTGTTTGTCATTTAAGTGGTTGGTCAAAGTTTGCGAAAGGTTCTAACGTGACCCGTAATGGGATGTCCTCAATTCTTTGTTTAGCGGCAACGATAACGTAGATCTGATTTTAATGAGATTGCAATGGGACAGCATCTAAAATATTGCTTTATTAGAAATAGCTGTCTGCTGTACAAAGGATTTGAATATGTTGGATGATCAAATGCAGTGATTGACTGACTGTTCAGACTGTTCCATACTTAAAAAAAATATTTGGCAATAATTATTAGTTGTTCAAAAGTGCTACGTTTAATGGTTATAATTATTTAGCTGCAACTAAAATGACTCGATATTGGAATGTATTATTTCTGATAAAAGAATAGTTTCAAATACGATTTATCTGATCATTGCATCAAAAGTCTTAGACATGTTAGAGTGAGTGAGTGAGTGAGTATGGTTTTACCCCGCTTTTAGCAATATTCCAGCAATATCACGGTGGGGGACACCAGAAATGGGCTTCACACATTGTACCCATGTCGGGAATCGAATCTGGGTCTTTGGCATCATGAGCGAACGCTTTAACCACTAGGCTACCCGACCGCCCCTAGACATGTTAGAAGGTATATTTATTGTGTATTGTGTTTTAACAGAATCACCGATAGATTGGTAGAAAATGTGTGCACAGATGATTGCTGGCTTAGTCTATGAGAAAATACACATAGTAATCTTTATTTCTGCATATGAAACAGTGCCTAGCAGAACAGAAATACGACTAAAATGGTAAATCATCATGTCTAGCATCTTCCGAGGCAAGGAAGCAACTGACCATAAAAGTCCAGTTTCCACTGTCCCGAACTTGGCTGTAATTATGGAGTTATGTTTTGGCTGGTCTAACAAGTCTATGCATAGTCCAATCAAAATTGCATAATGAAATCGACATCCAGTTCGTAAACTGCTGTGCAGATTTCTGTCAGTTGCAGGATTTGCAAAGCATGTGTAGCGTCAACACGCAGTCAACAAATATTTCCCAAATCGTTTCATGTTTTTATTCAGGGTGCTAACCTGATTTGATGCACTTCGCGAATGTAAGACCCGTTTTATCACAATATAGATTTTGATTATCGATCAGATTGTCTTGACTGGGCGCCGTCATCTTTTTTGAAGCAAATGCAAGTGATATGAAAGGTGGAATATGATTGGTCAACAGGAGGGACATAGAAGGGACAGAACTTGTAATAGCCACTGGTGGCACTATGATCAGGCCCAGAAATTCTAACCTAGTTTGGCAAGGATGGAAACTGGACTTTTACAGTAAGTTAACTCCCTTGCCTCGGGAAGATGCATCTCAAATTATACATTTTTTATTGACGAAGTTTGTTATCACCTGTTCGTTTACCTGAATTCTCTGAAGGGACAGTGTGTAGTTTTTGTACTGTCCATAATATGATGTTGACTTATAGCTTCACCCTTTCAAATCATGAGTCTAGTGGGTTGTTCCCTATAGATGTAGCAGGGCAACGCAGATAAACGCGATGGCTAAATGATCGCATCCAAAACCGGAAGGGATATGACAATTGGTATTGGAAGAAAAGGTACATGTTATTGACGTGAGGATTGTGAGGATGTGAGGGAAATTCCCATCTGTGCATAAAAGTTGCCGACATTGCCGAAGAGTCATCATTTTTTAAATAGAGGTTAATATTTTTAAAGCTTCTACATTTTGTTAACATCCTTAAAGAGTCTGTACATAATGTTGATATCTCATATAAGAAATAAACGACTCGTGGTCGTAATAAACGACTCCTTCATTTAAAAAGCATTTAATGCTTTTTTATTCAAACAGATAGGATCTGGGCTAGAATTGGTCTTCAGCAGCCCATGCTTGTAGTAAGAGGCAACTAACGGGATCGGGTGGTCAGGCTCGGTGACTTGGTAGAAGCATTTTATTGTATCTCAGTTGCGAGGATGTCATGATGTCAATCACTGGATTGTCTGGTCGAGACTCCATTATTTACAGACCGCCGTCATATAGCTGGAATATTGCAGAGTGTGGCATCAAACAACAAACAAACAAATTCTATGTAATTCTAAGACAGTATTTACTATTATCTGGGTCGCCAGAATTATTGGTCATAGCTGAAACTGACCAGGCGGATGCCACTGTCTGCGGAATGTGTGTCATTTTCATATCAGCGGACAGCTATGATGAAACTACATTGAAAAAATAAATAACCCCTGAAATGCCATCTGCCTCAGCTGTTGGTGTTTGAATGCCATCTATACAGTGCATTGTGATTTATTATCAGCAGCTGTGGGAATGGTAAAAAATGTGTATATTAACTTTTGCTTCTTTTTTATCACCATTTTTGTTCATAACTTCGGAGAAAGATGAATCAACAACACTGTTATAAAAATGTGCTAGAAATCTGGACCAGTCTGCTGCCAGTATTGCATAAAGACATGTAGCTATAAAATGTAATAGGAACACACATACAAGATAATACCATATGCAAGTACCTGTTCTGTCATAAAGTGCACAAATGTAACCCAGAAGGTGAAACAAATTGTAATCAGCATGTGGTTGTTTTTGTTTGTTTGTTGTTTTACGCCACACTCCGCAATATTCCAGCTATATGATGGCGGTCTGTAAATAATCGAGTCTGGACCAGACAATCCACTGATTGACATCCTGAGTGAGCATCGATCCACGCAATTGGGACCAATGACATGCATCAACCAAGTCAGCGAGCCTGACCACCAGATCCCGTTAGTTGCCTCTTACGACAAGCATTGTCGCCTTTTACAGCAAGCATATGGGTTCATGCCGTTCAAATCATAACTGTCCCCCAAAAGATATAATGCAAACACACTTTAAGGTTTATATTAGAATGTCCAATTTTTCATTACACAATTATTTTTATGACCCTCCCCAAGAGACTGTCATACTTATTGGCGACCCTCCCCCCATTTCCCTCTGACCCACCCACCTCTATTATAAATGACATGTCTTTAAGCACCCACTGATTATCTTCTAAACCAGTTTGCAAGTAATCTACATAAGCACCATTGGATAAGATTAGAAAATATACATGATCTTGTGTATGTTGCACATTTTTTATAGAAAACGCTGCAGAAGGGGTGAATAATTGCTATCGAAAAAGTTTCATCGACATTTAAACTAAGTTTGTTCACTACTGGTTTTGAAAATAAATTTAACTTGTAGAGTATGATATTAATAAGCGCCCCGTCCCCTTGTCAATTTTTAAAGCGCCAGATGCCTCACTATGGCGAATACGGTAGATACATACCATTTTATTTGAATAAAGGAGTAAACCAATGGTGCTCATAAACTGAGGTGAAGAAGCTAAAATTGGCTCATTTGTGACATAATCCGCCACAAAATAGACAGAATCCTCCTCAAAATAGACATAATTTCAGCAGATAAACCAAATCAGCTTAGCTATGGTTTTTCTTAAATTGAGTCAAAGCCAGCTTCAAATTCTACGGTTTGCCTGACTCAAGAAATAATGTTTGACTCATGTAGGGTGATGAAAATTCATTTTCAGTGTAAGTCAAATTATGTAGATGTAGAATCAAAACTATTCCACATGATATTGCATGTGGTAGCAAGGTGCAACTACCCAGAAGGTATTTCAGAGATACTAAAAAATATCACATTGAAGAAAATTGTCAAGACATAACTCATGACTATGCCTGACAAAGTCGTCTTGGGTGGTTGAAAAAGTGTTTTCCAAGGATCACTATTTTAGATGGAAACCCTGCATGAACCGTATGATTTATTATTCACCATACAGGAAGTATATATACAATATACTGCATAGTGCATTCAGCATGGCAAAGAAGTACCTAGCAATTGCACATGCATCAGGTCATGAATAATAAACAATGGTAAAAAGAGTTGAATTCTTCGCCTCAGTTATAGACTCTTCTTGACCTCTGTCATCATTTTGAATTTCCACTGTTCACATCCAATACCTTGGATTTCCCAGAAGGATGTGTTCATACCTGATTGGCCCTATGCTCACTGAGTCATGTAGTTGAGAGCTAAAAATAGCCATTTGACGGTCTTCCTCAGGTGTTTGTGTGTTGATCTACTGCAGTAGCTGGTAGTTCATTGACAAGATTCCTGTTGCTTTCGCAAATGGACCTTGACTTTAAAGAAGACACAGTATCACAATGCTTTCTGCAAGAGGTATGTCATTCCGTTAATTGAGTGTGACCTGTGGTTGAGGCATGAAGGTAGAACAGGTGTGTAATGAGGTTAACCTTTCCTCATCAGGGAGGACCCATTACATGTTTACACCTCACTAAGGCTGTGGTTAACGTTTTGTTTGGTAATTTAAAAATTGAGAGGTGAGCTTTGCTCTTTTTTTAGCAATTCTTCTTGAAAATGAGCATATTAATTTGAAACTGGGATTATGACAATTAAACTTGACAGGAAAAGACATTATTTTAGGTATTATTCAAATGCACACATATAACTCATAAATGTATTTTTATGGTATGCATCATTATCATGCAGACAAAATAATATTAACACTAGCCAGCAACAGATTTACAGTGCTTTAATATCATTATGATCTGTAGCAAATATTCTTGTGACAAGTGGAGAGAAGGATGTATATTGATGTTAGGTTGTCCAAATGTTGCGTGAATGCCAGGGATCTTTGCAATGTTTAAAATTTGTTAAATTTATGAATGAATTTAAAGAATTAGGAAGTGATCTTGACTGCGACAGTCAGAAGTCTAAAGGACCCAATGAACCCTCTAGATTTCAAACAGATATTTACACACAAGCAACATTGCACATTTGAAAGTTGACTAAATTGGAATGTGCAAACAGGCTATAAGCGTGATAAGTATTTAATTTTATGTTTGTGTGTTATATAGGTATTTGTAAGGTGTCTTTTGATTGATACTTAGAAGGGAAGAGTACTTGTTCTGAATATAATTAATGATTTATAAAACAAATGAAAGCAAAGATTAAATCAAGGTTTTTGATATCACTGCTTTGTCATCATAAGCCTATGGAAGGGATTTCAGCAGAGCTTTTGCTGAAATTGATACTCAAATGACTAGTTTTAAAGTTATATCCGAGTAGGGTTTCTTCTAGAAATATGAATGTCACTCCACGATATCTCCAAAGCTTAATGATAAGCTCCTCTTTGCTGATGAAATGTTGACCCACGTTGACCCTGGACCCTGACAACATTGACTTGGCTCTGTGCCAAGCACATGCTCAAAGATGCCACATGGTGAGAAATAGGTCATGCTGTTACTAATTATAGTAATGATGTAATACTTCTCCTTGAGCATTGTTGAGGTGTTGCTGGTTCATTCATATATTGCTGTATCTGCATATCAGTCATATATAATTGTTTACAGTATATATATGTTATTTATATTCAAGTGCAATCTTCAGGTTAGTTTTTCAGATGAACTAGTGGGGATTCTAGGTTAGAGTAGACCTCAAATGCTTGTCATGTCATTGTGAGGTCAGGCTGGTGACTTGGTTTATTGTGTGCCTTATTACCCAGTTAATGTGGGACATTGCACTGAATATCAATCACTGGTTTGCTTGGCCCACTTTCAGTTATTTTTGGCCACTGTGATGTACCTGGAATATTGCTGACTGCAGCGTTAAACAACATGAACACATGTTAAATAAAGTGACTATTATATATATAAAACCCTATTCTCTCCATCACTTGTAACAGATACTATTAAGAAATAGAAAAGTGATCAAGCTGCTCAGATGGGATGATGTACTCAATTTTGGCTGTAATACTCATAACCATTGTTTACAAAAATGACATCTTATGTCTCAGAAAGTGCAACGACAAGTGTGGTGATACCACTATACATTGATTTATCTCGCTTCAACGAAACTTCTTAAATTAAAGACTATTGTGTTAGTATATAATCCTGTCCCCTGATGTCAAACAGACCACACTACACAGCCAATTAACGGCCTTATTCTTTTCTTGATGGATAAACACAAGTCTATTCTTTTGAGTGTTCTTGCCCCGAACATGTATTTTTGCATCATCAGTTGATATTAGTCTTATTACACCGGGGATTCTTGTAGGGCTGGGACGGGTAACTCGGGTACTCGGGTCGGATGGGTACTGAGTAGGACCCGGGTACCCACAGGACTACCCGGACTCGTGGTTAGTCACGTGATATATTGTTTAATGACAAAAAGTATCTAAAACTACAAGTCACTAATGTTTGCAGTTCTTCCTGACTACTATGCCCATTCCTTCTGACTTTTATATGCTTGAATGAAAACAAAACTTCAGTCAACTTCAGTGTATGCATGACCAGATCATTTTATACCTGTATCTAAACACATTTTACCAGAGCTACAGTCAAACTTTTCCCAATCAGACCTCTTGAGATCTACAGCGGGTACCCGGGTAGGGTTGGGTAATAGGGGGATGGATACCTGGGTAGTAAATTTGGACTCATCCCGGCCCTAAATTCTTGGTTAGAATAGGCCCTAGCAACCTATGCTGGTTGTTAAACTTAGAGGTGACCAAATGGATTGCGTGTCATCGTACCCCGACCGCAAGGATCATAGCTCACAATGTCCATCACTGGATTGTTTGTCAAGACTTGATTATTTACAGGACGCTGTCATATAGCTGCAATATTGCTCAGTGCAGCGATAAACACCCAACAAACAAAAAGTCTTATTACGTGGACAATAATCTGCTGATTTTACAAATAAAGATATTTGACCAGACTTGGGTTTCAGGCTATAGGCTAAAGCCTCAGACTGCTACACTCACTTTCAATGTTCCCGGTGAGCATCCAGGCCTCAGAGCTATATTTAGTTATTCTAAATCTTAATCCTATTTAACTTTGACTTGATTTTATCCTTATTTATCTCTCCCCCAGAGCCACTGCGGCGGACACGCCCGCCAAGCAAGAAGCGATTGGATGATGAGGTGGATGCTATCATGGTAGAGATCCGTGAGAAGGAGGCAGAACTTGTATCCTTGCACTCAGCATGCTCAGTGCTGTAATCAATTGCTGACTAAATTATCTATTTTACTGAGTAAAAAGAACAGGATCATAGTGGGTTTTCTTCCAGGTTTGACCCATGAAGATCCGGGGTAGAATAGGTGTTCAGCAACCCATGTTTGCCCTAAAAGGCGACTATGCTTGTCGTAAGACTTAGAGGAGACTAACGGGATCGGGTGGTCAGGCTTGCTGACTTGGTTGATGCATGTCATCATATCCCAATAGCGTGTATCGATGCTCATGATGTCAATCACTGGATTGTCTGGTCCAGACTTGATTATATACAGACCACCGTCATATAGCTGGAATATTGTTGAGTGCAGTGTTAAACAACAAACAAACAAACAAACAAACAATTCTTCCAGATGTGAATAACCCATGCCTCCATCAATCAGATGCACTCCGAGAACTCTGAATGTTCATCTGAAGATATTATTTTATAGCTGAGCTGAGGACACATGATTTGTTGGGTAATATATTATTTAGAGGTATGTTAGTATAAGTAGAGCTTAAATTCTTCAGTAAAGATACCTTGACAGGCCACAGAAATCAATTGGAGGTCGAGGAGAGGATTCATTGAAGAGTATAAGAGCAGAGAAGGAAGCTACCTTTGAACGCAGGAAGAAGGTAGATTCTGACCTGAAGGGCCTCAATCAGGCTATAACACAGAAGGTAAGATGCCTTGCTTTGTTACAAGACGTAGAGCAGGACTATGGGGATTCTAGGTTAGAATAGTTCCCCAGAACCTGTCTTCGTGTGGTCAGGTTTGGTGACTTGGTTGATTGCGTGTCATTGTACCCAGACAGTTTGGATCGTTGCTGTTAATATAAATTTACTGTTCTTGGTGAGTTTTTCCCGATATATATCCACAACAGGGATCCAGAAACCGGTCTGTGCACCGGACTTGTCCGATTGTGACTGCAAAATGTCCGATTTGAAACATGGCCAACCGGACATTCTAAAATTTGCCAACAGACATTTTCGAGACCGTATATCATAACATGGATTCCATATACCTAAGAGGTAGCCAACAGCACAATTCATTCACCTGCAATATTACCGAGGGTGGTGTAGCACGCATGCACACACGCATGTGACCCCTGATGGGTAGGTAGTTCTTAAGATAAGCCAGTTCATTGTAAAGTGGTAAAAACTTGTAGTTGGTGTCAGTTGCATCCTGTTTCCCATTTTCTGACAATCTAGCCTACACACTTATCTGTATTCATTACTTGAATCATCGATCGTCTTTCTCCAATTGTTGAAAAGATATGAAATGCCCTGTAAGCATGGTAAGGTTAGTTTTAAATGCCTGTGAAAAGTGTTAAGACTATGAGCACAAAGGGATGCAGTTTGAAGTCTGTCTTCTTTTTTCTTTCATTTCTCCCCTCAGTAAATAATAGTAATTATAACACCCTAAAGCATGCTCAAAGCACTACATTGGTAACCCGGTCAATGGATCAGTGTGCACCTGATTTTCATTATCAGCTCCCTGGGGAGTATACAACCAAAGCTGCCTGTGAGGTGCTAGAAAGTGAATAGTCACATTACCCTCTCTTCCTACAACAAAACTATTAATGATGGGTACCCGTGAAGATCCAGGTTAGAATAGGTCTTCAACAACCCATGCTTGCCATAAAAGGCGACTGTTCTTGTTGTAAGAGGTGTCTAACGGGACCCATGGTCCAAATTCTGTAGTTCGCTGCTCATGATGTCAATCACTGGATTGTCTGGTCCGGACTCGATTGTTTACAGACAGACGTCATATAGGTGGGTGTGGCATCATATAGGTGGGTGTGGCATCATATAGGTGGGTGTGGCATTGAACAAAAAACAGACAGGTGTTGATGTTGGTCACACCATGTTATTCTGCAACAGATCTCAGTGTTGAAAGACAGTGTAAGGAAAAATGTCAATCCCAGCTGGGAAGTGTGCTGCCACTACTTGGTGGTTGTTGTGTTTTCAGATGAATGCCCTGTCCAAACTCCAGTCCAGCCTCCACTACACAACAGAGGAAAAACACAATGATGCTATCAGGTAATGTCATACATGATGATCACCTAAAGTAAACAGTAATATCTTTTGATATTTTAATATATTTCTTTTTACACAACCAATTTGTAAGGATTTAGCTCCACACTTAGTTAATAAATATGGCAAATATTTGCCCGTTTTCACCATGTGTAAACTTTGATGGACACCTGTAGCGAACTTAAACTTGCTGACCTGCTGTCTGCTGTATAGGTAACCTATACCTAACAAGTATGCCACAAGACATGCTACTCCATGTATTACTCTGTAATGTCATATAGTGAATTGAATAAAAAATATTTTAAAAAAAGAAAGAAAAAAAAGTAAACAGTACGCTATAACATAACAACCGTGTCATGTTTCCTGGATAGATGTTGTCCTTGGTAACCTATGCAGCTTACTGCTTGTCAACAATCAACCTAAATAGATTGGGTTGTCCATCTTGATCATTTGTTGATGACTTGCTTGATTGTGTGACATTTTATCTCGACAATGTTGCTCCCAACATCAATCACTAGTTTGCCTGGTCCATTCTTGTGGAATATCTATGATGTGTTCTTCATAAAATAATTAAAAAACTGTAAGGCTGTAGATGGTAATCAACCAAGGCAAGCATAGCAATGGCACTACAGAATTTATAATGGCTTGGTGTGCTATATTATCCCTTAGTTAATTTATGATGGCTTGGTGTGCTATATTATCCCTTAGTTAATTTATAATGGATCGTAATGGTGAATGCTAACTAACCTATTAAAATGTCATATGCAAAATGTTTCTTGTTCTTTGTCCAACATTTATGACCCATCAATTAGGATTGATCAATGCTGATTTTCTTTACCGAGACCCGTAAACAAAGTACCTGTCATTAAGGACTCAAGGACAGGCAACTCTCTATTATCGCGGAATGGCTATTTTGTGGTGTGGTATGTGTGGATTTTGTGGTTTACATTACTTCCTGTTTTGGTTTATGCATACGACCTAGGTTGGGCCAAGGGACATTGTCCAAACAATGGGATCTTTTCTAACCAATTATGAATAGAGGTAGAGTTTATTAATTCCACTCCAAAAACTTTCTTTAAAAATGTTTATGTGTATGCTTTTGAGTAGCCGTGGCATACCACAATGAGTCCTGTATTCAATCATGCGATGAAATATCATGCTTAGTTTTGCATAAGTAAACAGTAGACAGGGGTTGTGGATTACGGGATTTACCCATACTGCGATAATATAGAGCCTGCAATAATGTAGAGTCATACTGTAATGTTTAAGCTCTGAATGATGTATGTATATTGAACAATATATTGATTCTTGTAGGAAACTGGAGTGGAACATGAAGGTTCAAAACTTCAAACTGTCTCAGGAAAAGAAGATTGTTGCTGAAATAGACAGCCTGAAGAGATCCAAGAAAATGCTGAGGTTTGTCACGTCAAGTGTTTGTAGTTGCCACCAAATGAGCATATATTCAGCCATATTTTCACTGGCTTGTAAATAATTTGTCTGTTTACATATATGTTACAGGTCTTCTGCTGTAATAATGGATTGTTTGTTGTCTAACTCCAGGATGTCAATTCTGCCAACTTGTATGATTATGTTTGCATGTAAGAGAATCGAAAGATACAATATGGTCTCCTTTATCTTTGTGCAGCTTACAATAAGCTGATTTTTGACATGAAATATAATTTCAAGTATCAAGATGGATTTTGTTGTCATTTCATAATTAATTAAAAGAAAGCTGATTGTTTACAACAGAATCAACTTCTTAAACTTAGGGGTGTTGGTTTTATTCTACACATTGTAGGAAGACAACACACAACATTTCTGGTGTCCCCTTAGGTGATATTGCTGGAATGTGGCTGCCGTCATCATTAAAGCATTTTCACTCACACACTCTTCAACTTTATGTTGTGTTTCAGTTCTTACCTGTCTATGAAGAAGGAGATAGATGAGAGTCGAGACAGACAGCGGCGAATGAGGGAGGAGCGAGACGTGAGTGCAGCTCAGTCTTACGTTGAGAGGGGGGCGGTCGGGTAGCCTAGTGGTTAAAGCTTTCGCTCGTCACGCCGAAGACCCGGGTTCGATTCCTGACATGGGTACAATGTGTGAAGCCCATTTCTGGTGTCCCCAGCCGTGATATTGCTGGAATATTGCTAAAAGCGGCGTAAAACCATACTCACTCACTCACTCACTATGTTGAGAGGCACTGGGGTAGCTGAGTGGTTAATGTGTTTGCTTTTTACACTGAAGGTCTGTGTTTGATTCCACACATTGGTACACCATATGAAGCCTATATCTGGTGTATCCTGCCAGGATAGAGCGGGAACATTGTTGAAGACATCACTGAAATATGAATTTGAAATATCATAACTTGAACATCTGCCAGCGTTATTGATATCTTTGTGTGAGGTATTCAGAATATCAGGGTTTGATGTTTCATAAACGATTTACAAAAACTACATCTCAACTTCTTTGTAAAATTTTCAACTCAAGCCGTATAATATTGATACATGGCCCATCATTTTGACAGGTAATTGGTCACTTAGTGATCAGATCATTCTGTGAGATTGCTCTGTAATACAGACTACCTTATCCCTCCAGCACTACTTCCGCACCGTCAACCAACTAAAGGCCAAGGAAGAGGACATCAGGAAGAAAAGCTCCACCAATAAATCCAGGGCAGAAGTACTTAAGAAAGGTGAGTACTCTAAATACTCCAATCAGTGTCTGCTCAGCTTGTCACAGAAATGGTAAAGTTATACACTTGACAACATGTGCTCTACACTTTTCCTGAATATCAGGCAATGATAGGGTTAACACAATTGCATTCATGGAGAAGGGCTCATTTGATATCCATGAATTATGACCGGCCTTGTTTCATTTGCTTACTGGAAACAGACACACATCAACTCTGCCATATGTATTCCTGGGTGATGGTAGACGGTAGTGTATACAAATCAGAGAAGTAGTGATGATACCACCAGGCATATCTTGGTAATAGAAAACATTCATAGAGGAGGCATACTGTATTGGGACATTGGTAACATTAGAGAACAACCTTTTGATTCAGAGGGGGAAGGGATTTTGGTTTTGATTATTTCGTACATGTACTTGTACTTCATTGTTATTTTTTTAGATAAATAAAAATAAGAAATTTGTCTTTGGTCTATTTGATATAGTCTGAAGAAGGGCATATTATTAAACTCCCCAGTGCGAGTCCTATGTAATATTTTTTTTTCAGAAGAACAAAGTCAAATGGTATCTCCCTTACATTATCTTGTGTGCCATACATATGTTCTTTACATTGCCCCTGAAACATTATGTTATTTTCCTCACAATCTCCTTGAAATACTGCAATCAATGGAGCAGATGGCCGCAAGGTTGTCAGAAACATGGTCTAAGGGGAGATAATATGAATTAAGGGGAGGTAATTGATACTGAACCGCAACCAATGGCCCTGTTCTTGAGATCGGGCAGTATCTTTCTTTGTTTCAAGGATCTTGATGTTAGAATTCAGATTTTAGATCCTAGAAGTATTAATTAGTATGAAGATTTATGGTATGTTTTCCTCATCATAGGAATTACAGTAGTCATTGTACAGCTTTAGAAATGATATTACAGTGTTTTAACACATTGATTCATTTTTGATTTCATGTATCTTTCACAAGGTAAAATATGATATAGTTTCCCTGAATGACCTTAGCCTGCTTGTTGTAAGCTTTGGGCATTTTTTATATACTTGTAAATATATGAGGAAGAATCTCATCAATAGCCAGGAACTTTTTGCTTTTGCAGATTTGGTGAACTTTATCCATATGATCTGTTCCATATTCTTTTTTTTTCATCAGAAATCAATGAACTGTATGAAAGGAAGCGTAGCATGGTGGCAGAATTCCGAAAACAGAGAGATGTATTTCAAGATATCATGAAGAAACAGCGAGCCGAGAGCTTCAGAAGAAGGGAGGAGGAGAGACGAGCACTGCTAGAGGCCCAGCAGAAGGAAATGTGAGGAATCACTCCCTTTCTAAACTGTTTAACATTGCAGGATAAGACCATATCAAAACGCTCTCATCGTAGATGTTTACCAGCCAACAATCCTATCTTGTGTGAACATGAAATTTCAAAAGTTATCAGTGTTTGTGTGACAATGTCAGCATGACACATCAATGAATGTAATAGTCACTTTATCATCAGCATGAAAACTATCAGCGTTAGAAATTGGCACTAGTCCTGTAGTCCTTACCAAACAGCCCAATATTTAGGTATCTTCAGGACAAGTAGAAATTTGCCATTTGTAAGGGATTTGCTACGTGTCATTATGAGGACTAATGGACTGAAACTGTTAGTTTCTATAGCTGACTATGTTGAGATGGTAACCATGGTAACAGTCAACATGACATCAACACTAACGAGGGCCGACATCCTCATACTCTATTGTTACACTATGTCTCATTATTTTCAACAATGCTGTAGAGCGATCAGTATGTCAGTACTTCGTATGGATATCTATTATTGTGACCAGATAAACTTGGAAATTATTATTTGTTTGTACTTTTCTGCAAAAATGATCTTTATGTCAGTTGCCATCTACTTAATGGTAAAATTGGTAGTCAACAGGGAAATGGGACAAGTTCTTCCTGAATTTTACTGGGGACACAGGTGGCCCAGTCGTCTAAGGTGCCGCGATTCGCTGTGCAGAGTTACTTCCCTTGGGCATGCCAGAAACCTATGATTGTCAGTTCGAATCCCGGTTCCCCCGATTATGGTTCTAGGTTTGTCAGCACCATACGCGTGCTCGTGGGTTTCACGAAGTGTTAAACGTCTGATACTTGCATCACTTCGGGCTTTACTCCCACATTAAGCTGACACACCGCAATATAACTGGAATACTGTTAAAAGCGGCCTTAAAACCCAACACACTCACTGAATTTTACTAGCTTGGGATTCACTTACAGTTAATTTCAATTTCTGGACTTTGTCAGGTCACTTGCTGATATTTACATGCTGACATTATTCCAGAGAGGAGATGGAAGCGCTGAAGGAGCCGTATGAGGATGAGAAGAGTCTGTGTAATACCCTCATACAGTACCTTCACAAAATAGGTCCCAGCGGTGACACCACCGATGCATCCGCCCCATCACACGCCCCAGATGAGGCAGCCAGTAGCAGTCAAGGTGCGTCATAATCTCATCTCGACCGCCGCCGTGGTCTAGTGGTAGAGTGTCCTCCCGGAAAGCGGATGGCCGGCTGATACCAAAAGACATTAAAAGATGGTTCTTGTTGTTACCCTGTCTGGCGCTCGGCATTAAGGGGCTAAAACAAGGACTGGTCAGCTCGGAGTCGGTATACTGTGTCTGAGTGGGGTATCCATGTTAAACTGAGGCATGGTATCTCATTGTGCTAGAACTATAAATCATCATCAGTCCTGTTGATATGGTAATGGACAAACCAATATTTGTACATTCTCACAGAAACTAATGGTTTGTCTTGTTCTGACTTGACCATTTAGAGTCTGTGACTCTAGTTGATAGTCCGAAGCCTGAGTCTTGTAAAATTCTGTTCGGTCTTGTAAGATCAGCTAACAAATACCATATGATAACACTAAAATTTACTGAAAATGATACCAAGAACCATTTACAGACTGCTTTCATATTGTTGGAATATTGCTGAGTGCGGTGTAACACAAACAAACAATCAGAAGCCGATGTTCAGAAAAGGAGGATTGCACACTATGCACCTGATTGAATAAAGTTTTAGTGAAGTTTTTGATGCAATTTGGGCAGTTTAGTTTTGATAACTTTTGAGAGTACAAGAGCAGTTTTTTCATCTGATACTTCATCATTTCCGTTTTATTTGTTTCATTACAGCATGTGCCCCTGCTCTTGAGAACGAGGATGGGTATCGTCTTCTACGGAAATCAGATGAAGAGGAATTCCCTCCCCTTGGTCGCCGCTCAAGTAAGAGCCGCCGCCGTAGCCGCAAGCTATCTATGGTTCGTATATTTTGTCGACCTGGTTTCATAAAAGGTTATAGCATGGTTTAAGTATTTGATATGTTCTGACTTTCATTTTCATCATTTTCAAAACCAGTAGGCTCTTTCGGCCGACACTTCCAAGGGAGACCTATATTGTTCATTGTTCAAGGAGGGCAGGGGCCCCAGTCGTCTAAGGCGCTTGATTCGCTGTGCAGAGTTGCGTCCCATGGGCACTCTGAAACCTATGATTGTGGGTTTGAATCCCGGTTCGCCCCGATTATGTTTCTGGGGTTAGTCAGTACCATACCCGTGCTCGTGGGTTTTACCGAAGTGGTAATCGTGTAAGACTTTCCCCCCACATTAACTGGCATTTTGATATAACTGGAATACTGTTAGAAGCGGCGTTAAACCTATCTCACTCACTCATTGTTCAAGAATGTGTTTCCTTTGTCACATATTTCTTGGCCAAAATGCAAACATGCATGCATGAGCACAATCTGAACCTTTTTTTAACAGGCTAATTAATAAAAAAATGATTGAATTAGTGAAATATAAAATTAACCACCATTGTTCAAGATAAACATAATTTCAGTAACATGCAGTAACTTTACTCTTCTGTTATTTAGTTTGGAATACGGTATTCAAGGTAATAAGCGTCCCGCTCTAATAGGCGCCCACGGCGATATTTGCTAATATATTTGCCAGTGACCAATCCCAATTAGCACCCCTTCCGATTGATCAATGTACACAAGACTTATTTATTCGCGTATAATATGCACTCATGTGTTATATCCACCCTTAATTATGGACAATTAAATTCTGGAAAAATATATCTGTCGTACATAAACATTTTAGGCTGTCAGCATAAACCATGAAATTTATCTTTCAACTCTGTTTTTTTTTCACTAAAATAGTATTCCAATAAGAAACCCCTATTTATAATTTTGAGAGCGCCCTGGGCGCTTATTACGTCGAATGCAGTAAGCTTAGTCATAAAACAAGCCCCTCCCCGAACTCTGTCTAGTGTGGATATGAAGTTATGGCATTTATACATGTCTGAAGGTAAGTCTAGAATTGAAATGTGGTCACTTGGTTTCAGATAAGCATGCCTTGGAGTACCTCACAAAACTGAAACTTGAGGCACTAACTGTGCAAATACTAACATTACTCATGCTCGTTTCAGACCAAACCAGTGACCCACACCCCTCATGTGATCAGTCAGTTCTCCTCGCTGAACCTGAGTGCTCCATCCAGCTTGGTGGAGATCCCAGCCTCTCTGGAGCATCTTCAAGGCAGGAAGGTAATGGCTACCTACCTGCCAAATCTTAGCCATATACTACTCAGCTTTTACTGTCTACTGGTCATTGATACTTAGCTATGATTCATTTCTTCATGACGTTCTAATAGTCTGGTTTTCGACCTGCCTTCACGTGAAGATTATGCAATATCGTGGACGTTTTTATACTTGTTAGTTCAGACAGTAATAGCGGAAGAGTACATAGCTTTTATTTTGTAGTTATGGGCAACCTAATCCTAAATAACAGGGAGTCTGAATAGCAAGATATAAGCAACAGCACTTTGATCAGTTAACATTGGTGTGTAGAATAAATGTGTGATGATAGGGCAATATTTAATAGATTTTCTGAAATTTTGAGCAGCATGTTTGTTTTGAGAGCAGATTCATTAGGATAGGGCTGTTAGGTTGTTAAATACTGTTATGTACTGGCTTTTTGTGTGGCATTCCCAAAGGCATGGTTGGTTGGTTGGTTTGTTGTTTACGCCGCACTCAGCAATATTCCAGCTATATGACGGTAGTCTGTAAATAATCGAGTCTGGACCAGACAATCAAGTGATCAATATCATGAGCATCGATCCACGCAATTGGGATTGATGACATGCATCAACCAAGTCAGCGAGCCTGACAATCCGATCCCGTTAGTCGCCTTTTACCACAAGCATAGTCACCTTTTACAGCAAGCATGGGTTGCTGAAGACCTATTCTACCCCGGAATCTTCACGGGTCCCAAAGGCATGGATTGTTGCTTATGCTGTCAACCTGTGGTTTTCCTTTGGTCTGCCGGGCTCTGGTATGATGATTTACAGGCTGCTGGGATATAGGTGGACTATAACTGACTGCAGTGAACTACAACACTCACTCTGTAGCAGTCACCTGGATAGCCTGAGTCCAGCGGTTCAACTGGAGGCTCCTCACAACACAGATAAGGGGCCTGTTTCCCACAATACTAGAACAATGAATGTACATGATGTATGTAGGTTTCTGGTATGGAATAATGCTTAAAGTTCATACACCACAGTAAATCATTCTTCAGTTATTGTAAAATAATTCCAAGAAAACAGATCAGTGAGGAGTAAGATATTTCTGTTCCAGCTGTACTATGAACAGACGGCTAGAGAGGTGAAGAGCCTGAACTCGGACACTTCCCCAGATGCCTTGCTGTCCGATATAGCCAGTCACCACCGATGTCGCACAGAGACGTGGGGTTTCATGGGGGATGAACAGCCAATCGTGGAGGAACTTTCTCAGAGTGAGGCTGGCGTTTCCGCCACTGAAAGCGTTGTGTGTGAGATGTCTCGCCAGGCTAGCAAGACCGAGAGCTGTGAGAGTGCCACGGACACCCGTCCTAGCGACACGTTGATGGAAGAACTCCTCCAGACCTGCTGTGATGGCGGCTGTGCCAGCAAATTGAAAACAGATTTCCAGGATATTGATAGCCATTCCCTCTCGGACAGTTCCGACACCCCTCGCAGCGAGTCCACCTTAGAAGGGAGCAATGGAGAATCTATGGGCAGTGGTAACGACTTTGAGAGAGAACTGCATTCTGGAAGCCTTCAAGCAGAGACACAAAGTCATATATGCATGTCTAATGTAGGCAAGCCACTTACTACTACTGAGCATCAACCTCAGGATGCAGGCATTTCCACATGTACCAATCAGCCAGACTGTGATAAGACGACCCGCTCTAGTGATAGGACACTTACACCAGTGGGTGCAGCATCTGCTGAAGAGTCTCGACAAACTGACAGAGAGAGAAAAACTATAAAAAAATGTGAAGGCAATGGACATATCAAGACATCAGACAAGAAATCGAGGACTAGTGCAAATACAAGTCTTTCAAACCAGACGACTAAGATGTGAGTTGTGGTTCCAGGGTCAAGCAAGGTGATTGTCTTGATCTTAAGTATACAAGTTGTATAATCCTGAACATTGTATATTTCATAAGTTGATAGAGGAAGAGGCCAAATTGAGCAAAAATGGGTACTTGGTTACTGAAGTGGTCAATTTGGTCATGTCAATTCTTTGCTAGATTCAGATAAGTTTGTTATTTTGATGATGTTAAACATCTGTATACAAAAGGTGAACCAGACCCAAATGATTATTTTTTAACTTATTAAAAATATTCTTTACTAAATATTTTAGAGTAAAATTTTGTGTGTGATTGAGAGGGAAAGTTAAGGAAGGTGAGCTTCGCATTTTACCTACAGACTGTATTACTGTCAGAAGAGCCTTGGCAGTTTTACCATGAGCAATAAGTCTTTTGACACTTCATGTTAATTATATAAACCAAATTATTTATTTTGCTTGTGTATGTATTACCCTATTTTGAGTTAGCAGTTTACTGCTGCATGTCTGCATTCATTTGGTTGATATTGGACAATCCGTGTTCTGTGGCAATAGAATTGTAGCATTATTTGTTTGTACGTGAAGCTATTTTTAAATGAAGTTGTCATATTGTGAACAGGACAAAGACATTATAACAAAGACATCAAATTCATTAAACTGGATTTGTATATTTGAAACCAAACATTTGCCATATTTATTGATCACAAACAGCAAAGTTAATGGAACAGTTTCACTTGTATGTTTGAAGATAATTAGTTTAACAGAAAGTCGGTGTTTATTTTAACATGAACTTGATTTGATTTCTTTCATTAAAATGACCACAACAAGCACCTGTTATGACTCCACGACCTTGGACCTAGTGGAGCAAGTGATAGTGTAGTCTCTGCTGTTTTCAGATGCATTTGGGGACTGAGGGTTCATGTTTATATTTATATAATTCAAGGCTAATGATTGAGATGAGTTGTAGAGTGCAAGAACAGTACAGACTTCAGACTGTGAGGGACTAAGGGCTACTATTCTCAGTATTGGTTTTACGATGTCTCTGTTCACTGTCTCAAATGTATGAACATACTCCATACATATATTATAATTATCTCAGGGATTTACCTAGGATTTCAAAGTTAGTGCCCTCGGCAGGCGAATTGGGAAACAATGTTATTTTGGTATTTTTAGAAGCTCTGATTTGCAGAAGTATTTTAACATTGAATTTTGACATTGCATTCAAGCCTCTTCCTCAGTATTGGTCATGTTATCATGTTATCAGTGAAATACAAGTCACCGCTACAAAGCCAGAACATGTTTATTTCCAATGTGGAAATTTGAATGACGTGCTGACACGGACCTGAATATCGGCCTCTAAGCAGGTCTAGATAAATCCCTGCATGTGTTGTGTGGTGACTCTCTGAAACCATCCACTTGAATCAGGTGTCCTTGACCTACCAGAATTTGTAAACTGCTGAGACATTCAGATCTTGTTAACCAAATATCAGCCATTAACTCTTACAGTGGTTTCATCCCCGCGGCCAAGCATTGTAATCTGTATTACATTTATGAACTTATGTCAAACTCTCTGATTATCCAAAATAATTTGGATCTTGAATCTTGTGTAATGCTTACTGTTTATTATTGATGATGTACCAGGTTTAAGTATGATACGGTAAGTATCGCTGGTTGATAGTATTGTGATCAGTGGTCATGTGCCTTGTATTGGACACACCACCTGTTCAGCTGTCTCATCCCTTCATGGTGTCATGTACAGGACAGCCATGTGGACCAGTCCCAGACAAATCTGCAGTCAAATTGCGGCAAAACTGACAAATTTCTGCAGCTAAAATTTCACAATTCTGTGGTAAAGTCTGCAGCAAAAACATAACAATTTCCCCTGAAAAATAAACGCAAACTCAAAATGGACATTTCAAAACATAAAATTATGTAAATAAATATGCATAGTGTCCCTGATATTTATTAATGATTTGATGTAAACATAGTTTATGACTTTATGTAGTCATATTACCACAAGAACGTTTAAGAGTGACAATTATTTATTTCAAATTTTGTTTTATTGATGATCATATTTTGTATGTTTGAATTGCATGTTAAATGAGTGATCGAGTGAGTGAGTGAGTGAGTATGGTTTTACGCCACTTTTAGCAATATTCCAGCAATATCACGGCGGGGGAAACCAGAAATGGGATTCACACACGGGCAGCATCGAAGTGCAAACTTCTATTAACAGGCTTGAACAGGCTTTATTTTTTAGAATACATTTTATTATTCCATTTCCATGTACATGTTAACAAATATATAGAGTGGGCAAGTACAGTTACAATCAAGGAAGAAGGCGGAATAAAACCCAATTAATGGCAGGCCTGTGTACACTGTTTGAAGTGGTCAGTGATTACACATGGATAACATACTTTATGAACGCTTCATGACTATGGACATAGTAGAAGTCTGTTGCTTCCAAAATCTTATGATAACAATGCATTCTGTTGAAATGCCTATCAAACAATTCAATGGGTTCTGTTGTTTTTGTTTGCTTTTTTTTCTTTCTATTTGACAAATATCACTCACTCAATTAATGATACATCAGATACATCAAAGGATGTTTTTTTGTTGATAAATTCTTGATAAATAAATGAATCTTTTTGCAAAGATTGATAAGGCAAATTCTGTGATTTTTCTGCAATTCTATGGTAAGTTACATTTTCTGCAAATTTTCTGCAGAATTTGTCCGGGACTGATAAACATGTATGGGAAATAATAAAAAAAAGAAAGTTTGCTCTTAACAGATATTTCCTGGCTAATCATATCAGGCTGCATGTGCAGCTGTACATATATGCAGTGTTTGGAATAAGTAGAAAGTCAAGGGGTCGTGGTTACATGACCATTATGTAAAAGGTTTAAAGTTTAGAGGGTCCCTAGATTCTAATACTATAGCAGCAAACCTCAATGACTCAGGAACCCACTCCAATTTTGAACACTGTTTACGGAATGTGAATTCCCACTTCAGTCAGTTATGAAACAAAACCTTCATGATATCCTGTTGGGTGCAATTCCTTGTCTTGAAATGCTACTAAATATGCCAGCTTTATTGAGAACCATTGAAATGAAGATGGAATAAAGTTTTGAAGAAAGCAGAAAGTCACGATGTATGTTATGTATCCAGCATGAGGTGTAACACTTGTTATGGCTTGTTGAGAAAGGAGGAGATAGACACACCATATGTTGTGCTGAATGAAATATGCAGTTATGCAATATTGGACAAACAATACTCTGTTGTGATGAGAAGCATTTACCGTGTCACAGTGCCTTAAACCGTGCTACTGTGTCCCTAGTGCACTGTTCAGTCTGAACCCTTCGTTTCATGTCCATCCATTCCACAAAAAAGTCAGATCACATTCACGCAGACAATGTTCGCAGTGTAGGGCTAGGCTGCGCTATGTCTCCATCCTTGCTTATCCAGTGTGTTTTGTCTCCATTCTATTGTGATAATTACCCTGGCCTCATTCCCCGCCATGGCTTTATTTCCAAGATGTCACCATCTCCATGTCCCTCGTCACCGATTTTCTCTTCTTTTTCATGAGCTTGAAATCAACAACCGATCAACAGGTCCTTCTGAACATGAGCACGGCATAGACCTTCATTCAACTTTGTGGTTTTGTACGAGGGAGTCCTCTGTGTATTTAGCTGATTCTTTGCACTTGTAGCTAGAAATGTTCTTTCTTGGGGAAGAAATTCATTATAGTTTTTTAAATGGCTTCAATCTTGGCCCGAGATCATTATGAGTCCTAGAAATTAGGCGGCTAGAAGTATTGAAATTTTTAAATAAATATTACAGCTATTGGCAATGATCATCTTACAATGCTGATCATTTATTTTAAGCATGTGTAATATTTCTCTGAATGTTTTCAACATACTGTTAAGTTTCTTTGAGTAGGATTTATTGAAAATTGTGTTATTTCAAATGTATCCCTTAAAGATTAATTGCATTAATTCAATATGTATATGTTATGGAATTTTGGGGCTGAATGTCCCACACGAAACTACTGATGATGCAATTAATTGTGTTAGCGAGCACATATTGATCTTGAGCTTTGGGAGAAGCCTGGCGTGTTGTTTGCTGGTACACATAACATGACTTATGTTATCTTCACCATCATTACTTACTACCGATTTAAGCAAAATTAATATGTGACCATTTTTACAGGAATTACCCACAGCTAACCTCAATCAGAACAGATGGCATCTGTTGGTTCTACTGATAGAAGTTCCTTTAGATGGTGGCACTCATGCGCTTCTGCTGGCATTCCTTTACTGCCACTGTTATTTCTTTAGTACACCTTGATGTTAACTGTATAGTACGCTTTTCCTAGATGGCCTTACCATATTCTGAAACAATATTCTCCAGTTTGTTTCTCTTGTTTAGCGGTAGCGAGAACTAAGATCTGATTTTAATGAGATTGTGGAAGACCTAAACTAACACATGACCTAAAAAGGTCACAATGGAGTTGCCTTTCGAACATGCTGACTGTGTGATAATGACAGTTAAAACTTTTATCTGACACTTAAATAGGGAATAAAGCAGCAACTAGAATGAGCACTCCATGGCTACCTCTAAGCCCTTCAGTTTTGCTTGATGGCTACCTTTAAACACACCCCTTTCACCCAGTTTCGAGTGTCTGAGGAAGAGCTGAAAGACTTTTCTTTATGTGTGGTACAGAAGTACCGGAATCCGGACAAAAAGGCATTGCTTTTTCTTTTCATTCTATTACTGTATCTGATGAGATGTCTCTGCTGTCCTGTATATTGTTGCCAAGCAATTTGAATGATATGCATCAAAGTGTCTGTACAAAATAATAGGGGCGGTCGGGTAGCCTAGTGGTTAAAGCCTTCGCTCGTCACGCCAAAGACCCGGGTTCGATTCCCGACATGGGTACAATGTGTAAAGCCCATTTCTGGTGTCCCCCGCCGTGATATTGCTAGAATATTGCTAAAAGCGGCGTAAAACCATACTCACTCACTCACTCGCTCACAAAATAATAACCTCCACTTTTTAAGTGTTGGATGAGACCAGATTACAAGGATAGTTATGTCCCTTTGCCATGCCAGGATTTTGCTGTCACGTTCAGATCCTACATTCACCCTGATTATGATACTTGTATTGTCAGCTACTTACTCGTGAGTTTGGCTTAGTGATAAACATACAGGACCCGCATCACATTAATTTTCCTGCTACAGAGGGTAAACTTCTATGCCAAATGTGGCTGAAAAAACTTGGACTATAATTATTTCTAATGTTAACAGATGATTATGTGTCAAGGTTGAGGTCTTCTGTTTGTAGATACTTATATATTGCCCCTGTGTAATATTGGTCTTGATCCTGTCAAGGTAGAAATTCCAAGTGCCATTGAAGAGTTCATTGTTGTCCTTGTTGCTCGACTAGCAAATAATAGGGGTAAGATTTTTGTCTTTTCAGCTGCGTTCTTCAGTGTATATTACTGAGAGGATACTATAGAAGTAGAAACTTGAAAACTGAGAAAACTGGTCCCAGGGTTTACTTGCCACTGTTGATTTGGTTCAAGAATGGTTAGATTACACCAGACAGGGTATTTATGGTTTCAGTATTGCTGAGTTTACCATTAGGAGAACTAGAGTACTGGCTATCACTCAGTCTACAGCTGAATCCACTAGTCCCAAGCTCGAGTCTAGTAACATTCTGTTTAGTCTAGTAAGCTCAGCTAATAAAAGTCAATGTTACAATATTATTTGATATATTAATAGGTACTGAAAGTGATGCTGAGGGTCCAATTCAGGCCAGTAGATTCAGAGGTTTTCTGCACAGACTGTGCTCACTGATATGTCCTTGATTTTGCATTTTATGTGTAGGAATAGAATGCACTTAAAGCATTCAGCAAGGGGCATTGGATAAGGGTATGCGGCAAACTATCTATGACTTGACGAATTGCACAAGCAATGACATATTTGTGTAGTGGTCCCAACTACTGTTGACAAGTTACGTGAGCACTGATGTAGCTAGGTTGTAGTTCTTTGTTGCCTCTCACTGGCCATGGGGGATAGTTCCTTTCTTGACAATGTGGAAACCTGCTGTCTTGGGCAGGAGAGTAATAAGTTATATATTTCTATTGGTCACAAACCCTTGAGTCTCCTAGACCAGACAAGAGCTGAATATTTTTAAGATGGAATCCGCCTTTTTGGGACTTAAATTGCACCTTCATATATCTAAGGCTACTTTTTACTTTCTTTTGTATTAGGTTTTATTCATGATGTTAAGTTTGACATTTAGATACTTTGAAAATACTACATGCCAGTTAGTTTGACTGTGTAAAGTAGATATGTTTTGTTGTTGTTGAAACCATTGGTATTTATTAGCTTTGATCAAGAGTTTGTCTATTTATGATCTCCATTCATTAGTCAGCCATATCCTTCAACACAGTGAGGATGTGGATATATATATTTTCAGCAATAAATAATTTATTCATTATTCTTTTGTAAGTGCATTCAATGTAACACACTGGCAGATCTAGATGAACTGAGACCTCACATGTTTACTGTGCACGCTCCCCGTTTTATAAGTCCTGGTTTGACCCAATTATGTTTCTAGGTCTGTCACCAAAGTGGTAAACATGTAAGACCTGCGTCACTTCAGGCTTTCCTCCCCCATAAAGCTAACATGCCGTGATATAACTAGAATACTTTTTTCGGTGGCATTAAACCCAACTGACTCAGTAAAAGTCTTGGTTCTGCCTCAGATACATGTTGCATGTGTTACTTGTCAGTACAACTAGAAATTGCTCTTCAGGATTTCCAACAGATCAATAAGGATTTGGAGATGCTACATTTTCTTAATAGGTCTCCAGTGGTCACATGCTTCTTTATTTCAGAGATATCAGTTGTTGTCGAAGAGCAGGAACATTGTAATCCACACTCCTGTAAAATAATTATGTGCACCTTGGCAGTGCCTTAATTTGAAGGGGTGCTGGGCTGATGTTATTTGGAAGTCCAGGCACCTTTGATCCAAATATTTTAAAACCCACTTTCTCTGTGTGTTAGCTCAAGTCTTAGGATGCATGACAGTTACTAGAGACAATGTCTGTTTCATGCAGGCCATGGCATCACGAGCTAGTCTGAAAACCAGGCATTGAGCATAGTGTCTTTTAACAAAGTTGTAATGATGAAATATGCATACTGGCAGGATTCTTAGTTAAGATATTTTTACAGCCCCTGATTTAAAATCAATGTTTTAACAAATTCTTTTTATATTGATAATAAATTTATTACTTTTGTTGAATAAAATGTGAAAGATGATTTTGATATTTTCAGCTTACCCTTTTTATCAATTGTTGCCTGTTTTGTTTCAGAAAAGCTTGAGCAGTGTTACAGGGTTAGAGTGTGTGATGATTTCCACTGCTTTGTAGAATCAACTGTTCCTTCAGTTTAGCACTGACAACAGTGAATGTCAGGGGTTATGGCGGATGACAAATGTGCAAGATAGTAACAAATGTGTATATTTTTCTTAGACGATGTTCCAGATGGACAATGATGGTGTATATGTGAATGTTTAAATTATGGTGGTTTTATTGTACATATTGTGATTCGGAGCTGGGGTGGAGTGGCGCAAAGAAAGCACTGAATGAACGTTTAGTGAGATCAGAAATAAAGAATATATATCTGACATGCAATGTTTTTTTTTGTGTGTCGAAATGTCAGGGAATCTATTCTCTGCTTTAATCTTCATGTTCCTGAGATTTGCAGCATCCAGAAGGCTACATATGCGGTATTTTGTGTGTCAATTCCCAATTGGAACAATTGGTTAACCATAAAATCTGTACGAAAAAGAATTTGTGAAACCAACAAACAACCAACAAAGTGTATACAATCAACAGTTGTATTAAACAGTTATCTAAGTTTACAAATCAATACAAATTACTGCACAGCAATTACAATGGCAGTATGCAATAGACTGGTAGTACATTACAATATTCAATGGCAGTGTCAAATACAAAATATGATTGCAGTGGTGATATCGAAAAGTTCAGTGATAATAATATTCACCCAACCGCAACAGTGGTCAAGCTTCTGAGATCGGCCTAGGCTTGGAATCTGGGATGATAAGTGATCTTCTCACAAAAGCTGGTCTTGATGTAATGACAGATGAAATGTGAGATGAGACGGGCAAGCGCCCACTCCACTTAGATAGTTTAACTAACTTCCAGCACTCTCCACACAGTCTTGACCAGTCCAGTGTCACTAGAACATCACAGAATATTCCACGTATCTATTACGACAGACATCCATCCATGCTTTTCCGGAAGTTTACAGATAATTTAAGAAGCTAAATATAACAACTTCCTCACCACAGCTTACACTACTACATTCCTGACAACAAATCATTATCCAAATACAATAAAGTGAACTTCTACTGAATCACAACAGAAACAATGTAATTCAGTAACAATCATTGTTTAACAATAATTACACTGCCATATAACATGTAGTACACCACTTTTCTTATGTTAGGGCTTGCAGACTATTCCTAACCAATCTAGATTGAAACTCAACCTGAAAAATATTTTCTGTAGCTCAATAGATTTTTATGACATGTATTATTTGGCATGAATCTGGTATGGTTTATTTTAGAAAATATATTCAGTATAAAGGTGATGTTCAGTACTTTTACTGTAATATGTATTTGTTTATGCATGAGTATTAATTAAGAACCACCCACTTTCCTGGATGATTGCTATATTAAACAACTGACTGGTGTGATTCTTTGTTGGAAACATCCCAAAAGAGTAGCAAACTGATAATCAACGACTGTCACAACCATCACACAAATAATTAACCTGACACTAGCGATGTCTTGGGGTTATGCGAAGAAGTCTTAAAACGTTAATTTGATACTGAAAGTATGAGCACCCAGACCAAACCAGGAATCAGACTGTCACATAATGCAATCCAAACCGATTATTGTCAACCCTGGAATCACCACTGACCCCGAAATCACTGGTAGCCACCCCTCTCACGGAGGACATTGGCCAAGCTTCTCCTCGTGCTGCTGATAAAAAGTCTGAATATCAACATTGGTATCCTGGTGCAGTGCCTGGGTCAGTATATTCTGGTTTTGAACTGGAGGGTCTCTAGCTCCCACTTGGCAGCAGGACATTCACACAACGTGCTGACAAGTTAGGGTTCCATTGCGCATCATAATGTTTCGGAATTGGATCTTAAATCAGCTGGGGCGGTCGGGTGGCCTAGTGGTTAAAGCGTTCGCTCGTCACTGCGAAGACCCCGGTTGGATTCCCGACATGGGTACAATGTGTGAAGCCCATTTCTGGTTTCCCCCGTCGTGATATTGCTGGAATATTGCTAAAAGCGGCGTAAAACCATACTAACTTAAGTCAGGTGGTGCTTAATTAATGCCCATGTGTACATTTACTTCTCAGAGTTACCAGTTTGGTGAAACCCACGAGTACGGCGTGCCGAAGGGACGCAACTCTGCAACCAAGTTAATGAACGTCTTCCATCAACGTAATTCTCGTGTGTATTGAAGATGACTGCTGAAATACTGTTAAATGTGGCTGAACACGTTGTTATTCACACCATCAGTTTGCTAACAAATATGGGACGAGGCATGACGGTTCTTTCTAGTAAACTGGAAATTTGCGGAACCTTCACTTTAAATAAACCAACCATTTGGACTTGAGGCATGCTAAAAGCATGGAAATGGCTAACACGAGTGATCGCTATCGGAATTTCCGGGACTTACAAATAAGTGAGTGAGTGAGTTGGGTTTAACGCAGCTTTTAACAGTATTCCAGTTATATTGCGGCGTGTCAGCTTAATGTGGGAGGAAAGCCCGAAGTGATGCAGGTCTCAGACGTTAACCACTTCGGTGAAACCCACGAGCACGGGTATGGTGCTGACAAACCTAGAAACATAATCGGGGCGAACCGGGATTCGAACTCACAATCATAGGTTTCTGGCGTGCCCAAGGGACGTAACTCTGCACAGCGAATCGCGGCGCCTCAGACGACTGGGCCAGCCGTGCCTCCCACAACTAACAAGCGTTGACAAGAACAAAGTCAAAGTCTCACTCATGAACACAGCTGAAAACCAGTTCTAAACTGAGTTTCTCACTTCTTTGAGCGATACATTTGACGTCCCCTTTATTGTGTTAATGGCTGATGGCACCGGCCGGGCAGGATACGCTCACCTGGTATCATCCCTATTTGATAGTGATTCATAAACACCTGGACCCCGTTCCACAAAGCGGTCGTATCGCTACGACTGTCGTAGGTATATGTAAGAGTAGGGGCGTTACGATCGTCTTAGCGCTGCTAAGTTGTGAAACAGGGCTGGTCATGATATAGACTGACTGGTACAATGGACTTTGCGTCTGTTTGTTTGTTATTTAAGGCCGCACTTAGCAATATTCCAGCTATATGACGGTGATCTGTGAATATTAGTAATCGACTCTGGTACAGACAATCCTGTGGTTGACATAATGAACATCGGGTACCATACTTTGAAAGGCTGTAACAACAAGTTCGTCCCAACCTTTTTCTTGTTAACATTCAAAATGATGTTTTGTCCAGTAGAGTATTTTGGAGGGGTAGGTTTTTTCAACACCAGTCGATGTTTATTTGAGTAGTAGAAATAACCCAAAACACCATGGAGTTACTACATAACCAACAATCAATTTAGGAAACACCTCACACGGCACTTGCCTAACACACATCAAATAGTTTCTTCTTCCACATTCTACCGACCCGTTCAAATGAGCACGAGGGTGCAAAGCAAAAGTTTTAAAAGGTCAAACATCACCAGATATAGTCTACTTTTAATCACAGACGATACTACATATATTGCAGTTTATTTTTCATTTTGAATTTCCCATATTTAAAAAAAATATTTTCAGTCGACATCGTGGTTCTAAGTAAGAACTGTCGCTGTTCATCATGGTACATATAGCAGCGCCATCTAATATTTAATCCCAGCTGACAAGGGAATAATTCCAACATCCCACTGTGATCATCAGGGATGAAAATTGTCACTAGCCCGCTACCCCGAGTCAGTTTGTCTGCTATGAAAGACATCCTGAAGGGCTACAAGAATTTCAGGTTTTTAGGGATGTCCAAATACGATATCACTGTTTAGGCTAGTAAACGTTTGAGATTAATTTCTTGCACTGATTATTTTATCCAAATAAACATAGTTTTCAAAAAACATTTTTTTCAAGCCACAAACATGTGTATAGTTTGTTTCAGATCTAAGTTTGCCCTTTGAGTCTCCCGAGTTGCCAAACCAAATGCTGGAATTGATGATAACTATGTTAGCTACGTCTGGTGTCCAGCCGAAAGCTATCCCGGTTGCTTTCACCTTTTACAATGCCATGAGGCTAGGCCGCCTTTACCACGCCGGAAGCTGACGATGACGCCTCGTTCTGAGTTCTCCGTAACGTAGTTACCGTTGCCGTTCTCAACGTCCCCTTCTGTTTTCAACAGAATCACGATCGCTTTTGCTCCGTTGATCTCCACGTTGTGCTCACTACTGTATCTTTTCAAGCATTTTCAAGTCCAAGATGAATACAAGGCTTCACATTCAAGGTATTTAGGATCCCAATTATTCGACTTTAAAGTGTTAAGATGTTAAATTAGTGGTGAAATTCGTCGTAGTTAGGCAGCCGTATTGGGACTGAAGATGGCGGCCGCCATTTGCAATTGTTTCAATTCAAAGTGATTGATTTTGAAATTCATTTCGTAGGCTGTGATGACACATGTTGGTGTATTACAGTGTCGGACGATGTAGCATACACATTTTAGATAGCTTGTATTACGTGTTTAGAAGTTGTGGACCCAATTTATTCGTTAACTGTCTCGTTTTAGAACCCCAGGTAGCTGGATAACTGTTTAGCCGATGTGTGCCACATAGATTCAAATCAAATAGAAATGACCAAATCTAAAAGAGCTTTCTAGCAGCTAAATACACCAGACTATCTGCCTGACCTTCCTCCAGTATCTCTGGTACATATGATTGTTCTGATTTGTTCTTGGTAAACGTGTATTGACTCTAATATTACAATACTAGGCCAATACTAAATAGGGGGTAAAATGTATTTGTACGGAACTCAAAATAGACTTGATTTTTTAAAAGTAGCCGTCGTCGTACATTTAACGGAGCTTTGCTTTTCTTTTCCAGCTCGGGAGGACATAATTCGGTATTATGGTACTCCTGCGGCTGTGAGTTTGTGGCCGTCTCAAGATGAGGAGTCCGACTGTGTATGTATTTTACATGCACTCCCTAACTTCTTCAGTCTGCCATAGCTGTTTTGTTACTATTAAGTATGTCCATTGCCTACAATATAGTGTGATTTGTTTTCTTAGCAAATCTCCCGATGTTCTGTCTCACTTGCCTTACTTTCTCCCTCCCTCCCCTCGATGAGTAGCGTTCCCAAGCTGTGTCCCTTTCCCGTTTCCCCGACCCCCTGAGTGTCTTCACTCCGTTCTGGGCCCGCCCCGTCTACGGCGAGACGCTCCCCGCCCCCGTCACCATCAATCACGCCGACCACTATCCTGCCCCAAGTGACGACGATGAAAGTGACTACTGGGTGTACGAGGACGAGGATGACCACAGCTTCGTGGATGACCGAGAGATTCATCCCTTGAGAAAGGC